GGGTCGATTACACGGAGGGGCCGACCCGGCACCCTCAAGTCTAAACCTTATCGCCACGATCATCTATCGCTATCTCCTTGACAAAAGAACCAAAAACACGCCAGGCCACCGCTCCGTCTCCGATCGAACCGCCGCTCGCAACGCGAGACAGAGTGGTCTACAGTTGATTGCATACTTTCGTTTCGAGAGTTTCAGTGGAGGGACGTGGCACACTGATGCCTGGTTTCTCGAGACAAAAAAAGAGGACCCGCACTTTGTTGTGCTGCATGGGTACAATGCATAGCAAAAATGTGGGGCACGAGGTCCGGTGTGTCCCCGCTCTCCGTTAGGGATGCAGTCCATCTCCTCGTAGTCTAGTGTATGGATGGATTCGCTGCAAGAGGTTGTACTGCATTTTCCTTCAAGACTGTGGGGAATGAGTCCTTGCCCGCGCGCAATAACGTCTTTGGTTGATGCGCCTTTTGGGATCGCCGCATCCTGAACCAATCGTGATCTGCGGCGTAGGTGTGCTGTAGAGAGGAATCTCGATTGATTGCAGACTTTTCCCGCGGCACCCTTGACGACCTGCTGTGGAGAGGATGTGGCAAGACCCAGACTGCGTCCTGTCAAGTGGGACGAAATTTTTTTACTGGTATATATTTTTTCTCCCATCATTGGATTCTCTCCTCTGCCCCTTTAGCCCCTATCCTCCACTTCTACTAGCTTGACGACCCAACCGGGGTCACACCGACGGGGGGTTAGGACCCCCTCCTGCGGTTCGGGATATGTACATGTCGTGTTATTGGATGCGGTAGAGGTTCATGAATTGCAATGTACGCGGTGTGTGTCAACAACCTACATAGTAGTACCGCCGGTTTCTGGGTCGACTAATGGGGTTGAACCGCCTACCTACCCGCGAGGGCGAGGTAACAACGCCACATGTAACAACCCGAAACTTGTGTGTCAGCATCTCGGGAATTGGGTCGTCAGCGATTCATTCATTTCGACAACGGTCTGCGAGTTGTGAAGATGAGGCATGTTTCCTGTAGGTCCGCCCGAGTTGTGTCCCTGGTATTGAGTGTCGTCGGCGATCGCTACAGGGAGGCAGAAGACAAAGCACAAAACATGAGACCACTTACGCGGGTCGTGTGCGTGGGGGCGGGTCAAACGATTTTTGAAGATGCTTGTCAACGCAGTACTCAGTAGTGTTTTAAGTAGTTTCATGTTCTCTCGGACATCCGAACACGTCAACCGTACACACGACGCGCAGATGTAGACTGGATAGTACGTGACATCGTACTGAGAGGGCAAACACATATTACATACTACACCACGTTCTACTCGTAGACAGAGCATGATGAGCCAATCAATGCAACTAGACTAGCCTTCACATC